AGAAAGGAGAATAAAATTATAGAGCAAAATAAAGTTAATAAAATACAGTGACAAGAAATAAAAAATTAAAATCACAAAATTTTACCAACATACACATGTACATGGTGTAGTTTGCAAGCTATTAGTGGAAATTTTTCAGTGAAATTGAATATTCACAAAAAATACAAAACATATTTCCTTTACTAATTACTTTAACTCCGGTTCTATCAGCTACCCAGTTAGCAAGTGGTTCACATGTAAAACCAAACCTACAAAAATCATGCAATCATTTCAAGATTCAATGATACATTAGAACCTGGTTATGTCGTATTTGTCTTCATTCTTCCTCTTACCACTGGGAGGGAAATGGAAATATGTAGGAGCAGTGGTGAGACGTAACTAAATGAAGATAAAATAAAAAACAGTAAATACAGTAAGAATAAACACTCATTGGCAGAAATTTGAATTTGTCAACAGAGTACATTTTAGATTAGTAAATGTACAAGTAAGTACACATGGGCTTGTATGATACAGTATGTCCCATCAATAGTGAATACATGTAGCTACCAAAGAATGATGCTTCAAATGTAGGTACAGTACATGCAGGTATAAACAAACTTGGGATCAAAAAACTACCCATGCTTTATATAGCAATATAAATGCTGGGGCACTTGTACTGGGAAAAATGTGTATCTATAGTTGGAAGATATTGGTGATGGACATTTATTTGAGAGAATACGGTACATGCATGATGTACATGTACTTCACATGTAAAATTGCATACAAAATACAGTTGTAGTATACCATAAAATAAAGAATTTATGTATTGTGTTTTAAAATTGTGCTGCAATTTTAGTTTTACTGAATAAGACTGTGTCATGTATTATTGAATGTAACATGTAAGCAGACATGAACATGTATGTGTGATCTAAAAAAATTCTAATACAGTAAGTTTAAAAAATTCCAGACACCATATAACGGGAAATTTTGGAGGGAATTAAATTGGTAAATTTGGTGTTTTAAAAGCTATTCGTCAAATAAAATCCACCATTTTGAGCCATTATACGCATGCTTAATGGCACGTGGCCACTAATTGACCAATCACCAAAATATAGCAATTCGCCAAATTTTAGTCCTTCCTAAATTTCCCGCTATATGGTAGACAGTATGCTATAGTTATAATGATTGGCACTAAGTTACTTGTTGGAAGACATCCATTCCATCTTCATCAATATCAATCATTACAAAGAAAAGTTGTGATGAGTATTGCTGTGAGTATCTCCAGGAGTTAGCCAGTATCTCATACTCTTCATATGCTTGTCTAAGAGGAGAGAAAGGGAATAAAATCAATGTACATGTACATGTACACTGTACATGTACTCTTTGAATGTATAAAAGCAATGAGGGTTTTTTGTTACAAATTACTAGAAACAATGTAAAACATTCAAGGGCTCAGCCTCGTAGATTATTAGCTGGGAAAAAGCAAAATCTGAACTTTATGTTGCTGCTAGAAAACTCCTGACTTTTTTTTTACTTTAAGCCTTGCTACACTGACTTTAAAATAGCCATAAGATATAAAAAGGCTGGCCAGTTTAGTGCAGTCAGTGACAAAGGTGACATTTGTTTGATTTTCACAGTTTATCTCAACAAAAAGGAGTTTCATAGTTACTTAATTGCACCTGTAACCTTTTCAAGCAGTTGGAGAAGTCTTTGGACGGTGTTTTGCCTTATCTTGTTGCTAGGAATTAGGAAAATCATGACTTCTGATTCCTGTGTGCTGATCGCCATTTTATTATCTTTCAGCCACTCCCACTTTCAATGAAATATTGAAATTTAGAATCTATTGCACTGCAGGCATGTGTGGATATATAGAGGAGATACGGAATACGTACGTGTACAGACAGACAAACAAACAAACAAACTCTACTCATCTTAGTGGGCTTCACCCAATAAAAATAAAATACCATTGAAATGAGAACACTTAGTACTCAGGATAATTAATACATGTTGTAAATACATGGGCCCATTGATGTATGATAGAATAAGGAGGTGCATTGTAGTTACTATAATACATGTACATGTACATGCAGCTAGGAAATTTTGAGGGACTTTAAAATTCTGTGATTTTGTCAAATTTCACAAAATTAAAAGCAGCAAAATTTAGATAATACCATATAGCAGAAAATTTTTAGTGGCCCAAAATTTTCTTGGATTTCGCATTTAAAAAAAAATTACAAATATAAAATCTGCAAAAATCAATTCAATAGAGTTCAAGATGGCCCAAAAGAAGAAAACCACAAAAATCAAAGCTACGAAATTAATTTTTGAACGGATCTGCGAAATTTTTGGGTCACAAAAATTTTCCACTATACGCCATAGTATGAGACGGTGGAAAGCTTTGATTTGCAAAAATCAAATCCACAAAATGATTTTTGGGCAATTTAATCCCTTGAAAGTTCTGGCTATAAAGTTCATGTATTTTCAGGTTGTTATGTTATACACTATACTACATAAAGGGAGATTTGGGCAGAACAATTGATTTGGAGATTTGCCAAATCAGCTGTCATGTCAATAATAACCACACACACATACATGTACACCTATTATTGTATGTAGGGACTCCTCACTGATTCAATTGCTTTATCTAACACTATTAAAAGGAGATGCTTTACATTGATCAATCTCATAATAATTATTTGATGGTCCGCAATAGGTAATTAAATAT